ATGAAAGCATTTAATTTTCCCAGGGCGCATCTTGACATTTTTTCTAACAATAGTTTTTAAATTGAATATGATGAATTCTATTATCATGCAAGTGCCCATTCAAAACCATCAAGGTTGAAAAGAAAATTTAGGACAAACATAAAATTAAATCAAAACCTCTTTTTAGAATTTAGACTAACTATTTTTACGTTGCTACCTGAGTGCTCAATAGAGTGGGTTAAAAAAAAAGATAAAGGAAATAATTGTTCTTGTTTAAAAAATGATTTTTCTGTATTTTGATTCAAACAAAATAAAACGGGAAATTAATGTCGAATTTTTGTTTTCAACTTTAGTCGATAATTCCTTTAAATTGACGGAAATAGAGGACCCAAATTTCAATTTCTAAGCTGTTTGAAACCCAGTAGTAGAAATCAAAATTGAAATAGAATTTCGTCTTCATTGTCATGTAGAGACCACATTTTGAAAAGCAATTAAAGGGACTATGGACGTAATTTCAAGTAAACTTACATTAAAAATGAGTATGCCCGATTCTCGACGATTTTTTAAAATCTTTGTCTGAGCTCAGTAATGAAGCTATCCTCGTTTTTCAATTAAAAATTGATATTTTCTAATTATAATTTGCTTTATAAAAGTGGTTTGCGGAATTTATGCAATAGACAAAGAATGAAAGTTATAAATTGATAAGTTTCAATTAACATTTAAAAAGATACGAAATTGTCTAAATGTTCTTTTGTTGAAGAAAATAGTTTATATTTGCAACATATATTTAAATTACACTTTTTACAGGGTTACGTTACCCGCAACAACTTCAGAGACGACTGTACATAATTCATATTATCTTTTTCCTGATATTCATGGTGCCCTGCAACTGTAAACTTGTTTCTTTCTCTACCTAATCATTAATTAACTTCAGAGACGACTGTACATAATTCATATTATCTTTTTCCTGATATTCATGGTGCCCTGCAACTGTAAACTTGTTTCTTTCTGTACCTAATCATTAATTAACTTCAGAGACGACTGTACATAATTCATATTATCTTTTTCCTGATATTCATGGTGCCCTGCAACTGTAAACTTGTTTCTTTCTCTACCTAATCATTAATTAACGCATTTAAAGACCACAAAAAAAGCAAAGGAATGAATTTAAAGTTGAAATCGTCTTATTTGACTTTATAGTCTTATGCTTTGTGGGTAACTCTGTAAATTTCCAAAACTGCCATGACACTAAATTAATTAATGGTGCTTTTCACATACAGGGTGTCCCAATAAACCAGGGAATTCAGTGACGAATTCGATATCGTCTTTTCAAAACATTCTTTGATTTAGATACAGTGAAACCCTTAATAACGAATACATCGAAAGAATTCATTAAATGTCGTATTCTTCACTTTCTGATAATGGAATGTTGCAGATATTTAGTTTTTTAATTAAATGATTATATGGAACTCTTTAAAAATGTTCCCGCATATTCATGGCTATTTATTTATTTTCGCAAATAGTGAAATTTATGTAATATAGTATAAAACTCATTTAAAAATTGCCAAGACGACATTTAATAAATTCTTCCGATGTATTCGTTATTAAGGGTTTCACTGTATAATGATACCTACTGAGAAAGCTGTAATCTGTAAGATTTTCGTCTGCTATGTTCACATTTTGTTTGTTTATGTTTTTACTGAATACGGTTGTACTTAGTAAAAGAAGAAAATTGCAGTACACAAACTGAGTAAACTTGCCCGTCTTCACTGTTCATCTTGCGGAGACATTACAGACACATCTTAAAAGTCTTTTACCCTTTTCATAAAATAAACTCTAGCAGACATAATAAGATTATGGCTTTTGAAATTAGGTATTACAATGCTAATTCATAACAAAGACAATATCGATCATTCGTCACTGAATTCCCATGTTTTTTGGGACACCCTGTAGCTTATACTTTGCAAGATATTTTGCAGAATTCTATCCTGATTTGACACCTTTGCATTTTTACATACATTCACTCTTTTTTTGTTATTTAAAAAGTAGTTACTAGTCAGTTTTATGAGAACTTCTTAATAGCGAATACACTGTTTCATTAAAGACGACTGGGCTAATGAGAGACAGAAGACGACATTATGTAAACGCTGTTTGTTTGAAATCATAAGAAGCACTAAACATATGTGTTTACTGATTTAGATTGTACAGATTACAGCTTTCTCAGTAGGTATTACTATACTAATTAAAAGAATTATTTAAAAAGACGATATCGAATTCGTCACTGAATTCCCATGTTTGTTGGGACACCCTGTAGTTAAGAAAAGCTGTGCACGCCATGCTCTTTTCAGACTATTTTACATAAACATTTACACCCAAACTGTTTCAAATACGCTGATGATTCTAAATTCCAAGTCGTCTGCATTATTCATTTAATCATGGGGATTACTGTAAGAAGCAGCGTTACTATCCGGCTCTAGTAACAGATTTGAGTTTAGCAGCAGCTTGTTCTGAATTTCCCTTTTTATAAGGATTTCTCGCATGTTATTCTTATATATATATATATATATATATATATATTTTACCAGTACATTTTTGTGTGCTTGTACAATTATATTTAAATATATATATGCCAATGTCGTTACTTTCATTGTCATAGGAAATAGTATAATTTTTGTAGATTGTGTTCTTTTAAAGTTTGTTTTTCAATACCTATGCAATTGTTCAAATTGCTGGTTAACAAACCGCTGGAAGGGTTGGGCTGAAATTTGGTGTGGACACTCATGGGTGGCCGTGGGGTGTTATAATAAAAATCGATTTATTTTTTTTGAATATTTTTTCAAAAAAAATCAAACGTTTTCCACGGGCAACGCCGGGCGTTTAGCTAGAAATTTTGAATGAAACATGGTCTGGACACATGAAGGTTTACAGCTATTAGTGATATGATCTAAGGTCCTTTTATTATTATTATTATTATTGTATTACCTATTAATTATACCCTTGCATTGGTTGATGCCAGACATCCATTATAGAATGAATTTAAGATTAGGAATCAACTGTAGTACTAGACTTCTGCATTTTTACACTCTGCGTAGGTATTTTTCTTTTTCTCCATAGTTGGTACATGATTCATCTTAGAACAGTTGTTTTTCCTCTATATCAATTGCAAATACTAAATTCTTGTGTATCTTATTGTCCTTTGCTTTTAATACTATTGGATCTCCAGTCATGGAACTTGGAAGACTCAGAAATTTTGAAGTGCAACGTTTTTAAATGATTTGTGATGATTACAGAGATATTTCCAGTGTATATGTAAATAACATCACTTGTGCTATAATTTTCCAATTCTGGGCAGAAACCATAAGGAATTATAAATCTTTCCTTCAGAACAAGAGTGACTGGTATTTAGATTTTCAAATGAGGCGTTGAAGAGAGATTTCAGGGAATCCTGAAACATCTTCTTATTATTGATTCCTCTCCATGTAAGGTTTCCATTAATTCTATTAAACATTCCCAGTAGAAATGTGCAGCAAAGAGGGTAATCCATATATTTGGATTCAAACCAATCATATTGATCCCTTGGACAAATCATGATGGTAGGCAGTTCCTGATATTCTTGTAAGAAACAGTCGACACATCTTTTTGATTTCATATGGCTTCAGTAATGATTTTAATGAATTTTTAATGAGTTTTTGAGAAAATGAGAAAAAAACTTTTTTGAGGTCGTGGAATATCTTTAAGTTAGTTAGTTTTATCATTTTATTAAGTACTGAGAAAGTTAAGACTACAAACTAGAAATGGAAAGTCACATTGAAAAGCCTAATATATCATTTGAAATTTCTAAGATTAGTTCCTGTAAAATTGGACATGAATTTATGCAGAGCACTTCCCATCTGATAAACTAGGAATACTACTTTATGCATTAAGTTGAGTTAAGCAAGAGCCTAATAGTGGTTTTATTCACATTGAAAGTTAGAAGAGTCTCCCTGTGAGGATGTGACCAAAGAACCGATCAAAATTATTAAACCCCGAATAATGAATTGTCAATAGTGAAATTTAGAAGAAAAAAATAAAAGCAAGCAGAAATTATTTTCCGTTCAAGATATTTTCTTCATAAAAAATAGAGCCTTACATTCTATTGCAGCAGATGTTTTGACTTTTAAGTACTAAATGTGTGAACATTATGCTTATTATGATGCAGGGTATATCATATACCCTGCATCATAATAAGCATAATATATGTATATGTAGGGCTGGGCATGTTCCGACTTTTTTGAAATCGTTCCGTTCCGTTTTAGAACGAGGGCCTTCAGCTAAATCGTTCCGTTCTCGTTCCTCTTTTTTTTATCGTTCCGTTCTCGTTCCGTTCCGTCCCGTTCCGTTCCGTTCTGAGTAGAAGAACGGTCTTCCTGTTCCGTTTCCTTTCTTGGCGTTCTTAGTTGAAGAACGGTTGCATCCCTCTTGTTCTGTTCTTAATTAAGAACGTTTCCATCCCCCGTTCCGTTCTTAGTAACGAACAATTACATCAAAGACAAAAGTTTTATAGAAAAGAGTTGGTTAAAAAGTAAAAAAATTACAATTTATTAATAAAAAGGTCCTCACGGCCGTAAATAATACTTTAAATTATATATTTTAAATTTAGGGTTAAAAGAATAAGCTTAGATAATTCTGAGCAATGTATAATTTTGTCGTTCCAATATTTTTAAGAACGCGTTCTAAGCGTTCGTTTTTTTTCGGAACGATGGGATCGTTCTTGATCGTTCCGTTCGTTCTCGGGAAAGAACGATCGTTCCCCGTTAACGCGCCCAGCCCTAGGTATATGCAGGGTTTATTCAGATATTAGAGAAAATGTGCATGTTTTTACTTTGAAATCATTATTGTTGTTAGCAGTAATATACTTTTTTACATAGCCACACCAATTTTACATATAAAAGTTTATATTATATGAAAAAGGACAATAAGAAAATAATTATTCCAATAAAATTTTCCTTTTTAACACTTGAAAGATAGTGAGTAAATAGCTGTGAAGAAATTTCATTTATTGGACATATTTTTGGGCCACATTTTCCGTACACATTTTAGTTAATTATTTTGTAAAACATTAGTGGTAAAGTTTTACATCTACTGAGAGGTTTCATTTATATTCTCTAGCTTTGGCTTGTTAAATCTTTCAGTAAGAAGACTTGACTCAGGACTCAAATTTTGAATTGATTGATACTCTGTAGCTACAGCAGGTGATCCATGAAATATAAAACTGACCAGTATTCCAAATGTCTGAAAAAAAATAATAATGTGTAAAAAGTATTTGAGCCAGGATGCTCAAATTTTCTGGCTTTTCTAACTAACATATGCCCCTCACTTAAGGCTAAAACTGGGCTTTTATACCGGCCTGAGTCCTCAGGCATACTGCCTATAATGCCTTATTTTACCGTTACCACACTAATTCTATAATAGACCTACTTTCAGTTATTGGATTTCAATATTTTATAGCTCTTTGAAAAGCCTATATTAAAAGAAAGCAGATTGCACAGTTTTTGCAAAGTAATTTTGCACAGATTTTTGCACAGTTGTCTTTAAAGGAAATTTTTACATTTTCAGTTTTTCTTGAATACACCCGACTTAATTTAAAAGTTTTAACAGTGGATATCAAGCTCAGTTGCTAAACCTAAGGGCTATCAATACAAAATTATGACCTCCTGGTAATTTTAATTTTTGGTCAATATGCATTAGTTTTACCACTATTCCCATTTGAATAACAAGCAAAGTTGTGCTCCAGGAGAACCCAATTAGATCATAAGTGATTCCACCAACTAGAGAAGATAGAAATCCACCAAAATAATTAGAAAGCACCCATAAGCTAGCAATCCGGCTCTGCAATTCATACAATAACAAAACTATTCAGTGGAAAAGTAATCTTTTTCTTAAATATACAAATTCTTGAATAATGTTAAACTCTTCTTGAGATATAATAATCTTATTGTCCAAGATTGAAAGCTTTAACCATTATCTAATCTTTAAGATATGTTCCCATCAATTTTATGATAGGGAGGGCTTTGTTAACTTTAAAGAGAGTAGAAACCCCTGTTGGTGCCCATTGTAACTCCAGAATCAGAAAGTTCCTCTTATAAATTGCAAAAAGTATGCTTTGCTTGAAATAAAATTGTTTGACAAATAATAATAAAAGGTTCATAGCAATTTTCTTTATCAATAAAACTTAAATTCTTCCCTTCTATCAAGGGTTAAACATGCATGTGAATATCTTACGCAATTATATCTACTTACAGTTGTCTGTTCAGATTCTTGAAGACCTGCTTCTGTTGCACATTGCATTAAATTAAAAAATGAAGCAAGAAAAGAACATGCCATACCAACTCCGATAAGCCCCCAGGAAACTACTGTAGCAGGGACATTTTGGATAAACGAAAGCCCTGGTAAAGGACCTGAAAATAAAAATATTTTTAACTTTTTACGAAGGGTTTGAGTATTTGCCACAAACTCAAATTTTCTAATCCTTATATATTAGACACTTTACAAAACAACACACCACCTGTTGATATGCTAGATTTAGACTATTTAAATAAAGTTTGCCACAATTGGCTGCAAAGAAATAGGTATTATTAAATTAGTGTTTGTCAAAAAGACTCAACTTCTTAAGCCTGGCCCCTTGATATTAACTGGGCAAGTCTAGTTACTAACAGAAAAACAGAAAATCTTAAGGTATTAAAACTGCAGCCATTCTGTATGCAAAGTATTACTCTACTGAAGTATTTGTAAATAACAATATATTATCAGTCTTTCCCAAACTTCATGCATAGAGTAATACAAAGTAAAATTATTTTTTTACACTTATTTGTTGGAGTGAATATAAGAAACAGCCAAAACCTAATGTCATGCTCCCAATGAGAACTATCATGTGTCCAACTAAAAGCATCCATTTTGAAGGGAATCCACAATCAATGATAAATCCAGTTATGGGGGTTGCAATAGCATAGGTCACAGCACATGCCATATACATCAATCCAACCTCTTCAGGAGATATACCATACTAAACAGTACTAACTTTAGAATAATTTTCACATATAACGGTAATAGACACAATTCCTTGCCGAAACCTGGATCAAGAAAAAACCTTCTGGAAGAGAAGTTTAATTATCTTTCCTCTTTATAGAAGGCAAAAATTGGAACCTAAGAATCATCAAACATAACTTGTATATGAAAGTGTCCAAGAATTCCAATAAAGGTTTAACAACCTTAGCCAAGTATAATTACTTTTTCCCATTCTTTTTATTCAATCCTTCATCCTTTATCTTCTATGAAAATTCATCTCAATTTAAATAGTAAATTCTGGAGCAACATCACGTTGAAGAGGGAAAAATAAAAATAATAAATAGAACTGGTCTACTATTTTTATGAGGTTGAGAATTAAATTAAAACTAAAAACCAAATTAAAACGTTCAATTTGAAACTTACAGAAATCAGATCACTTATTTATCTGTATATGCAAAGGGACAGTAATTTGAATCTTTTTGATCTAGAAACTTCTATATGTTGAATATGTTAAGATGGAACGTTACTTTATTCAATTGTAACGTTGCATATCCTGCATTAAATCCAGATCACCTATTGATCTGTATATGCAAAGGGACAAAGCCATCAAGGTGTTAGTATTAGAGGAGGCAACTGGAATTTTAGACTTCTTGTTGCACAGCCACTGTACACAATGGCCCGATCAGAAATTATACCTGGGTGGATCATAATTCCTAGATAAGTGTTTTAAGACATTTTTATTGAAAGTGAAGACTACAATATTCAAGCACTGTTTGGACTTATTAACCAGATTTAAACGGAAGAAATTTGCATTCACATCCTGCTAAGATTGGGATTTTTAAGCTCAAAAGCCCATATAATTTGTGTATGAAAATGAGACATGACAAAGAAAAAAATGAACTCCTTCTCCTTAATAACATCTTGTCTCTTGTCAAATTCTTTATTTCAAAATCTACATTGTGCAATTAACTCTTAGGAATAAAGGGTTTCTAACTTTTTGAATGAAAAGTAATTCTGAACTAATAATATATCTAAATTAGATTAGACTTAATTTTAAAGTTTACCAATATTAAATTACTAAATACTGTTAAAATATTTATTTTACATAGACGAAGTTAAAATGAAACAAGTGCAAATTTTAAAATTAACTGTCCACACAATACCGAACAAATAGATGTACTTAAGATTAAAAAAACATGGGAATTTAGTGACAAATTCGATATCATCTTTGTTATGAATTAGCATTGTAATACCTAATTTCAACAGCCATAATATTATTATGTCTGCTAGAGTTTATTTTATGAAAAGGGTAAAAGACTGTAAAGATGTGTCTATGATGTCCCGCAAGATGAACAGTGATGACGGACAAGTTTACTCTGTTTGTATACTGCCATTTTCTTGTTTTACTATGTACAACTGTATGCAGTCAAAACATAAACAAACAAAATGTGAACATAGCAGACCAAACTCTAACAGATGACAACTTTCTCAGTAGGTATCACTATACTAAATCAAAAAATTATTTGAACAGACGATATCGAATTCCTCACTGAATTCCTATGTTTTTGGGGACACCCTGTACCAAGTCAGTCATAAGGAAACATTATTCATCAATATCCACTGTATAGTATAAACCTGGCCAGGTAGAATAAGCAAAACTATGTCTGCCCCCTGGACAAAGCTTTATCTTTCTGAATCTGAAACTTCTAAAAAGGTATGTATGTCCTGAAGGATGTGATGATACTCGATAAAATGTTTGCATTAACTAAATTAAACGCAGTATCTAAAATGTAATACTGTGAGTTTTAACAGATTAGGGAGGGGGTGTTTTTCTTCCATGTTTTTGTCAGAGCTTAACTTTCTTCATAAGTCAACTAATGGTTTCCCTCCCAAGGTTAAAATCTATGAGTACGTTCTACTCTAATGCTAAAGATGTCTGCTGTGTATTTGGAATGTTTTAGGCCAAACTATTTTATGTATTGAACATTCCAAGTGCCCTCTTTTCCTGATTTGTATTTTAAAAAATCCTGTGCTTTGACATCAGAAATAAACTTTCAAAGACAGAACAGTGCTCACAATAAAAGATCTGATGAATATAGTTCCTTCAGAAAAATTCCTTGAATGAATATATTGCAATTAAAAATAAAGAGCTAAGTTGTCTAGAAGGGCTTTTAAAAACTTTTAAGCAAACCAATTGTATTATCATTTTTAAGGAAAGGCTCCATTTGTCAAGGAAAGACTAATTGGAAATAGGAATTATTCTTCCTATCTGCAACTGGAAAGTGTTTAATTTTTTTCTGTTTTTACATATATTAACAATTTGCTCACCAATTCTATAAAATGAGGCTCAAAAGATGCAGAATGCCATTTCATAGCAGGTCCTAATACAAACACAACAGAGACAATGTTTTCAATGAAACCCGGACATTTCAACAACTTCTTCCAAGGTGAGGTTTCCCTGAACAGAAATTCATAGTTTCATTGTACAGATTCAAAAAAACATAAAAATAAGTGATACAAACATAAAAATTATTTCTGAATGTAAAAGATTATTTTTAGACAAAGTTTAGCATGAAAATGTATGCCTCAATGACATAATGGCCAAATTGAAACTAGGAAAACATTCTGTTTTCTTAAATGATTTTTGAGGGTACAACAATGAGAAATAAATGTCATGTAGAATAAAGAGGATGTTTATAGTCATTTCATAATTCTTGGCTTTCATATATTGAAAATGTGAATCAAATTATGTAAGGAAGTTTGAGAATCAAAAACTGAGGCATTTGAAACCAAAATAAATTTTTATAAAATTTTTTTGAAGCCAAAAAATTGGACTTATTTTTGTTAATGAAATTGTTCATAATAGTTTCCTTACATATCTTTATGTGAAATGGCATTTTCATTCTTCTTTTCATTCTTTCCAAAAAGCATTACGGCTCCCAGCAGAACCGTTACAATGCCAGTTGTCCAAAACGGGAGAGCAAAACCACCAGAAATACTATACAATAAGGTTCCGAGTGAGGGGCCAGCCATTGCTCCAATCCCAAAGAAGAAATCCAGTATTCCCTGGAACAATTTGTATAGGAAACATAAATTAATTTAAGAATGAACATAAGGACGCATGTTTATTAATAGTTTACATACAATAAATATCTACCAATAAAAAATGGTATGGTACTACTTAAATTAGCAATGGGGGTTTTCAAAGTCTACCATCAGTTTCTAGAATGTAAATATGCACAATGAATATTCAGTTGTGAATCAAATTTGAAACTAACACCATTCAGTTAGTACCTATACAAAATAAATCAACAATACACTTTTAATTGGCGAATTTAATAAAATTCTTATAGTTAAACCTTAGCTAACCAAAAAATAAAATATGATCTTTGTATGTTGTGTTTAAAAAAAGTATTATATCTTTAATTAATTTACATGGAAAACATCTGTCAATTATTTACATGTTGAACATATTTCTATGAATAGTTTGAAATTTAAAGAAAAACCTTGCAGCAGGTGTATTAATAATGAATTTCAAAATATCATCTGTACTATTAAAAGCAACAAAGTAAATTATTCTTACCACAACTTTTCCTTTATGTTCTGCTGAAAACATTTGTATTGCTAAAATCATAAAATATTAAGAAGAAATTAAACAGGTATTTCATAGTTTTGTTGACATTATGATTATTGCTATTTTTTATTAAGATTTTAATTGTTTTGTCCCTTGATATCTATGTTAAATTTGTGTGCTTCAAAGTATGTTGTAAAAGTACGATTAAATACCTAAAGGGTAAGCAGAATTAAGAACAACAGCCTCTCCTAAAGCACTAATTGTCCGAGAAAATAGAGAAAAAGAAAAATATTCTATTGATGAGTCAATTTTGTCCAGAAATCTAAATTATAAATATTTTTAAGATGATTTAGTTTCACTGAAAAAATGTTAAAACATTTTAAGCATAAAACAACTTTAGTTAGGATATTGCTAGCCAACTTTCAATTTTTAAATTACCCAAACAAAATATTTCCAAAACCTCCCAGAACAGATCCTATTGCAAAGACCCTCCGAGTGCTCTGAACTGATATCTAAAATTTCAAGACCTCCTTAAATTTTAACAATAGATAGACTAGATCTCAAAACCAGAATCAATGAAGTTAATATTTTACTTACAAAATAGCTGACAAATGGGGATATTATGAAAGAGGTAACATATGCTGAACCTAAAGAAAATAAAATGTTTGGGACTAACAGGGGTAAAAATTTTCTTTAAAAACCCTTTCCAAAAAAAAGTTTATATACCCCAGAATATGAGAATTAAGATATGTGTTTTACACCAATATAAAACTATATTTAGTATAAGGACTAAAAGGGATAAACTGCCACTCCCCCCAATCAAAATATTTACCCTTTTAGACAAATAGTTTACCTAAAACCAGTCCAGAAGCTGACACACTTACACCTCGTTTAAGTGCCTAAATAAAAAGTTATTTTGAAAATAAATGATTAACTTTCAGGTTCTTACCAGCCAGATATTTAAAGTTTGGGGGTCAGGACGCCCTGAAGTTGCAGGCAATATAGCTATTTTGGAATAGACCATTAAGGTGGGAGAGAAGTCATTCCTCAATGGCCGTATCATATTTCTAATGGGTTCTATTGTGTCCGGGAATCCATATATGTTTGTTCATAAGGTCTCTGTCTGTCTGCATCACCAGATTAAACTCCTTCATTGTAAACGAAATCTCCTCAAGGTGATTATCATCCACCCTGCCTCACGGGATAACTTTTTCTCCTAATGATTCAGCACGATTGTGTGATCCCTTAAAGCTTTCAATCCCTCTTACTCCTCCCCCCCCTCCTACACTTCTACCAACCTTTTCCTACAATCCCCCAAGAATTTAATCCCACAACAACAATAATATCGAATCCTAAACCATTTGCAATACCACTATTCCTAATGCCAAATCCATATTCAAAATATTAAAACAATTTTACTCAACCTTAATCCAATACTCCAAAATCCATATCCAAAATATTAAAACCTGTACTCAACCTTACTCCATTACTCCAAAACCAAAGGCTTTATAATTGCTCCATCCTAATGTCTCTCTTAAATCTCTTGAATCATGGTTCAAATAGCCAAAACATTGGTAAGAATGAGCCTTTTTTCTTTGTTTTAATTATTGTACGGATTAATTAATTTAAACCAGTATTTTATTTTAAATATTGCAACAAATTCATTTCAATATTAGAAAAAAGAATGCCACTCTTATAATTTTTCCTTTTAACATCATGCCGGATAGCCAGATACCATCTGAATTCAAAAATTTAATGGATTTTCTTGTGTTACAAGAAATTTGATATTTTTTTGCTAGTATTTAATATAACTAGCCTTAGAGGGCGCTTCGTGCCCATCTTCTAAATTAATTGTGAACATGTTCTCTTTGTGTACATCGTAAAACAAAACAAAAATAATTCGCGAATTTTCACAAAAAAATTCGTGGATTTTCAAAATTTTCAAAAATTTAATGAAGATTGAATTTTGATGGAAACACATATTTAAAATTTTGATCATTCATAAACCTTCCCTGTGGTCACATGATGTCCCACAAAAAATTTGGGCCCGATCGGTTCAGCCGTTTTGACGTTTATTGGATACAAACAGACAGACAGACGAACAAACAAACAAACAGACAGACAAGCCAAATTTATATATAGAAGGAGAAATTATTGAATTATTGAACCAACATGCTGAAAAATTGCAATCTTTGACATGACATAAAGATAATGTGAATGGGGAAAAACCCCCCCCCCCCTCCCCTCCCTCCATTAAAAAATAAAATACCTACCTCAAAAGGATAGATAGGATTTGCAATTGAATAAGAAATAGCTCCTGCAAGTTGACACAGACAGATACAAACAAAAATTAAAACGTCTTCACATTTCATCTTTTATCAGAATTCTCTTTATCTGTAGAGTATTTCAGATTCAAGTAGAGTTTGGAACTTTTAAATGAAACAAAGGCTTGCTCAATTGGTACGCTAAAACTTTTGAATTTCGCCAGGTTTTTAGCCAGGTTTATTTTTAAGTTAGGCAGCTGACAGCAAATTAATTTATATTATATACAACTTGAACAATATGTCGTTGATTACAATGCAGTAAACAATAAAGAAATCAAATCTGACAAAATTAGAGGATTTGAAACAACTTACATCTTTTTATGAATTTTTTTAGAAAATAGCAAAATATGAGTCCATTTCTTTTCATATTCAGCTAACCTTGGTACCGAACACAACAGTCTGTGAACGCTGCAGTACACTAGAGCTAAAACAAGATGGCAGGGGTGAATACTTTCCCTGCCATCCTAAGATTATACAATCAGTGTAGATCAGGGATCTGGGCTAGGATGACTCTGGAGATTGAGAATAGGAAGGAAACAATTACCTTCTCATCAGTCACCGGACCCCAGGGTTCTACCTTCTCCTCCGTAACTAGACCCCAGGCTCCCACCTTCTCCTCCGTACCTAGACCTCATGTTCAACATGAAGGAAGACAAAAGAAGCCTTCCATTATTAGGAAGGACAGGGAAAGAAAAGAGGCCTGGCTGTTGAAAAAGCTCTGGCTGCAGGAAAACCAGCTAGATCAAAGAATGTATCAGTCCCTGAACATGCAGGGTATTGAAATTCAGCTGATCAGCTGATGAACCTGAAACAGAAACAGGTTTTGTCAATACCCCCTGCAGTACATGCAGTACATATATACAACCTGTAACCCTGGCTCAACAAAAACAACAATCAGGGTTAAATATAAAGACTAGAGCTGATACTCAAGGTTCTGTCGATACTCATCCACCTGAATCCTAACCAAGCAAGAAAATGGACTTTGAAATGGACATGGACATTATTCCAGGAGAGATGGACAAACATCAATTGTGTCATAAATGTAATGGAGATAAACCTTGGTCCCCTGTGTTTAGAACGGAAAAACCTTGTGATACAGGACGTTGTGTTTGGAATATGACAGAAGGACCCGAGCATATACCTCATACTCAGTGGATGAAAACTGAACATTTTAAAGATTGCTCAATCACTCCGCACCACAAGTTGATCACACACCTAGTAAACGTATCCACTTGCATTAAATGTGAACAAGTTTTTCCAATAAATTGCAACCCTATTCATTGTCCACAAGCAAAATCAAAATATCCTTGTAACTATATTTCATTAAAAAATAACGCTATGTAATCTTCGTATTCAAACTCATGCTTTTTATAACTTTATATTTTGTGTTAGTAAAAATATTTAGATCTTAAAAAATATTCAAGGGTCAGCATTAAAATCTACTATTTCAGAAATGTATTTACTTTTGAAACTTTGACAATCTTCTATTGAAGAGAGTGAAGTAAGCTGCCTAAATAGGATTTAAAGTAAATCAGATAAAAAGATCTGTATTGCTCTTAAAAAATAAAAATAAATATTATGAATTTTTCATTTTTTTAGTATCAGAAAAAAAGATAATAGAAGCAGATGGTTGGATGCATTTTTTGTGTAATAGAAAATAATTATAAAGTTTCACTGCATCTGTATCTGCATGTTAACTGCTATCTCAATTCTCTAGATTTTATTGATTATATTAGAACTATTTATTAGATATGGACGTAACGTAAGGAAAATTGTTTTTCTTTTTGTTTGAACTTTTTGTTTGATAAAAATAAAATAATTCATTCTTAGCCTTACCATAGTTTTTTTTTGTCCTAATAAATCATTTTTTTAAAAAGCTACATTTTTGGTTGTATTGTTTTTTTCTTCATTGTTTAGGACTACATAACAACACATTTAAAAAATAGCAAATTATAACTTTTTAATGGTCTTTTACAAAATTATGCCCCAGCTTAGATACAGCTGTTTCAACAGAGTGTCCAACTAATTATTGGAGTTGAGTGACAAATTCAAGATCTCTTTGGTAAGAATTAGTGTAATAATACCTGATTTCAAAAGTCATAATTTATAATCATATCTGCTGGAGTTTATTAAATGAAAAAAGGCTGTAGGATGTGTTGACTGACCAGAACAGTTTACTTTGTTTATACACAGGAATTTTCTTGTTTTACTGAGCACAATCTAAACATAAACAAACAAATTCTAAAAAACAGCTTTTTAGTAGGTAAATTTAAAGTCATTTAAAAGTCCATCTCAAAATTTTCACTCAATTCAATATTTATTGGGCCATCCTGTATTATCTAATGGCATACATAATACAGACAAGTGTATATTTAGGCAAATTAAATAAAAATGCCAGATATGTTTTCTGAAGACAATGCATATGTTTAGAAATAACAAATATAATTATACAAGGTACTAATTAATTTTTCTTGTCAGAACAAACCATCAGACACCCAAACAGACAATACAAACATATTTTTAGATGTTGAAATTTAAAATTTAAAATTCTAGTGAGGGGTCTTGACCTAAAATTTCTTTATCAAAATTCAAACAAACAAATTATTTTAAAAAAAACTGTTTATTTATTTCACTCAATGATTTAGTTTTAAAATGTTGAAATTGGACACTAAAGGCCCTATTAACAATTTTTTGTGGGATATAAAGTGACCCCAGGGAAGGTTTATGAACGATTAAAATATAACAAAAATTGTGTTTAAAAGTTTTTTATTTTGTAAAATTTTTGAAAATCCGCAATTTTTTTCTTCTTTGTTTTAAAATGTACACAAAGAGAACATGTTCACAATTTAAATTGGATGGGCGCAAAGTGCCCTAAAAGCTTAGTAGTCTAAAAAATAATAATAATGTTGGTGAATCTTTAACTTAATTGTTTTCTTAATTAGGAGCTGTGTTCATTACAAAATGAGTTCGATCTGAGGGCAAAATTTTCATATAGTAAATAATACTCTTGCTCCAGCTAAGTCAACAAGAAGGATTGAGTTCCAGGCAGTGGGTTGAAATCACAACAATTGTCATTTCTACAGACAGCATGTACAATACTGCTGGTTATCTGCTCTAAGTAGTACCGGAGCCACACAATGTGGTCAAAGTCCTGCTCTTCTGCTGCAGTATAAAATCCCAACTCATCCGGCCTCTGCGGCTTAGGGATTGACCTAAGCTTTGAGCCTATTTTGATCCAGCTTTTAATACCATGTAGAAATTTTGGAAAATGGAGAACACAAGGTTCCTTTGCAGATGAGGTTATCATTATACATTTTGCAATGGAGAGGAACTTGTACTTCTTGACTTGATGTATTGGGATGTCTGAGTAGCAATGCTCCACCTCCAACAGTTTGACAATCATTTTTTGACGGGAATAATGGTAAACTATCTCACCTCGTTTGAAATAAAAGATTTTGCAGCCTAGATGATGAGGTGGAGCTTCTGAGGGTTCTTTCATGTTAGCTTCACAGGACATCTGGACTCCAAGATCATTCCCTCGTTCATTTCTGAGCTTGAGCTTGTATCTGAGAAACAGTGCTAAGGATGGTAACTCTCATGTTGACAACATGCTCCTGCATTGTACACCTTAATGTTGGTTGGGTTGGAGCAGTCATACCCGACTGCCACAAAGTTATTTTCACCCTTTGTAGGTACTGCCATTGCTGCCACCAGACCAAGAAACATTAGAGGAAGTTTTGGTTTCTGCTCTTTTGCCTGTCCTCCTTCTCTGTCCTCTGCCTTGTCTCCACCTTGAATATCTAGGTTTACCAGATTGGCCTGTTTCTTGCCCTTTCTGACCTGCACAGTGTTGTTATTATTATTAAACAAATACATAAATGGAGAACATTATACTCCTGCCTGGGGTGAGAATTTGGAAACTACTAGATTCCGCTTAATGATTGTATTTAATAATACTGGAAATAAAATATCATTGTTATTCTTTTTAATTCAATTGCAAACACTAATTTTTGACTTTTGCAATTAAAACTTTTTTCTCCCCAGTGACATGAATCCCCCCTTCTTTTCCTTTTTCGATGTTGTCTTCATTGTCAGTCCATCTACTACTCACCCATCTGTCTCTACTTCCTGTCCTGCTTCCTGGTCTACTTCCTGACTTACTTCTTGACCTGATTTCTACTGTATATCCTGACTCTTTGTCAACTAATGACTTATTAATTTTGATACTCCCTGTCCGTTCCAGGGATGCTGCTCTGGTTTTGGTTGATGCTCTGCTCTCCATTGATGTACTCTTTCTCTTGATGATGGAGCGCCCATTGGCTAAGGAGTTTTCTCCCATGCTTCACTGAAAGTGGATCTCATATTTTTCACAATTGAGAAACCTGTGGCCGAATTGAAAGAATTTGAGCGGCGGTTTAAATTTAAGCCGCGGTTTAAAAATGGTTGGTTCCACTTAAAATTGTATCAAATGTTTCAAGATTTAAGCCGGTGCTTAATTTAAACCGGGTTTTGGCGGATTTAAACCGCGGCTTAAATTCTTTAAATTCCATCTCTGATTTCATTAATGTTTTGGGTACTCCTGGATTTGTCTTAGTCCTTGATGTCCTTGGTCCTGGAGAGGGATCAAAATGTTCTACTGTCTTGGTTATTCTTCCCAATGTTCTGTTTCCTGACCCTTATGAACCTCTTGTTTTTGACAATGGTATCTCTTCTGTGAACCTTAATTCTGGTCTTGATTCTTTTTGCGTCTTGGTTTTGAAACTCTATTCTATTTCTTTTGAGGCTTCGGAGGTCACTTGATCCTCTGTTATCATCTTGTCCTTATCCTGTAGTATCTGTGTCAGTTCTCCTTCTCCAATCTCTGGAGAATTGCTGTTGTTGGTGACCTATTTCTTGATGGAGTGATCTGTAAAAGACTGGTAGAGATCGTAATTGTCCTCAGACTCTTCTTCTTGCTGGTCCTCTTCAGATGTTTGACTCTCCATCTCTGTGCTGTTATTGCTCTTGCTGGCGTTGCTTCAATTACTTCTTGCTTCTAATTGATCCTGTCTTGTTGCTAAAACTCAATTCTTGCTGTCTCTGATTCCAGTGTTGCTTCTGATTGGTACAGTTGATGAATCATCATCTTGGTGTGGTTTATGTCTTCGTAAAATTCATCAACCAAACTTGATCGACTTTACAAGGTAAAATTATCTTGAAGAGCTTGTCTTCCAACTG